ATTATTGTTTCTACTTATCCAGCCCTTCTCCAAAAAGTGGCACTTTACTCACTTTTTTCCTAATCCACGTCTAGGCCTGTAGATTATCAGGGAATCTGCATTAGGGGTCACCTGGTCTGTTTATGAAAACTCTGTACAAGCTGGAGCCAGGAGCAGGTCCAGTCAGAAAGCAGGGGTCCAAATCATCACTGTGCTTGGCTCAAATGGTTAATTTTTTAAAAAAGGATTTTTTGCTTTTGGTTATAGTGCAAGGAAGCATTAGGATTGCTGGCTTGCCCTAGATCACCAGATGACTGAAAGAGACCATTAGCAGGGCCTCTGGTTGTAATGGCATTGTCTGTTGAGCACTTACCTTGGCAAGTATGTATTTTATATGGATCATCTCATTTAATCCTGACAAGGCTCTTGAGTTAGGTATTATTATAATTCCAGAGGAGAGGCTCAGAGAGATTGAGTTGCCCAGCCTCACCCTAGAACAAGTGGTGAGTGGGATAAAAAAACCTAAACCTGTATGATGCCAAAGGCCATGCTCATGAATCACTATTCTCTCTCACACTTTGATGTTGGTATAATTATGTTTATTATTTGCATGCAACTGATGCCCCTCTTCTTCACTTTTGTAGACGCCTTGGGAGGATTATCTGACTGGTTTTTCCTTTTTTAAATAAATCAATTGCTAAGTTCCTGTCATCCAGAAAGAGGCACTGCTCAGCAAGTTAAGGAATCTATGATGAAAGTAGTTCTTTTCTTGCTTCCATGCCACTGGTTCTGTAGAAAATCAGCCTATTCAAAAGATTTTTTGCCCTTGATGAAGTCACCAGCCCTCAAAATGTAACTGCAATATAACTTAGAAGGAGCAAGATGATCCAAAAAGTAACAGCAATATAACATTAACTTGGATTTGAAGATGATCAACTCTTAGGTAGATTGGAGAAACCCCTTTTCCTCTGGCCTTTAAAGCACGATAAACTTATCCAGCAAGGATGGTGACTAATCAGATCACTTATCAAATGGCCTGTTAATATCCTCCTTTTCAGCCTTGTGATTCCAAAGTAAGACTAGGCTGACTGGAAAAATTCAAATTCTAAACTTGGTTTCAAGAAAACAGAAATAATCCTATGTCCCCCTCTTTTGAATACAGGGCATGATTTTTGAGAAGGAATTAGTCCCAAAAGCTTTTGAGTCTAACAGAAAAGAACAAGATACTTTCATCTACAGAAATCGTGTGAGCCTTTTGAGGTTCTATGCTCCTTTTAGGCCTAACATGGTATTGAAGCCATTCCTAGTTAGCAGTTACCTGATAGCATCTTATGGCAACTTTGTCTTTCAACTTCTCAGCTTGTGTGATCCTTCTATTGCTGACTATAGACCCAGGAAACCTAAAAGCTACATCTTACCCTTCTAATTCTTTACTCCTTGGCCATGTTCTGTGTCTAGCACAGTAGATATTCACACATGGCACCTTATGCTTACCTAGGCCCTCATAAAGCAAAATGCTCTTTGTTTGGGCACCAATGATGTCAGTATAGACCAGCAAACTAGAGGACAGCAATCTAGGTCCTTAACCTTTTAAAATAGACTGACGCACTAGCTGCCTTTGGATTTTGGTATCTCAATAAAGAGATTAGTATCTTGGCCTTTGATAGATTTCCTTAGAATAAGATCTAAAGACATTAGGAGCATATTGAGGTCAGAAAAATTTTTTAAATTTTTTGATTATTATGTTTTGAGATGGAATCTTACTCTGTCACCTAGGCTGGAGTGCAGTGGCAGGATTTCAGCTCACTGCAACCTCCACCTCCCAGGT